CTAAACCCTAAACCCTAACCCTATTCAAGCCCCTACATACCCAGACCGCGGAGCCCCAAAGCCCGGCTCCTTTCTCTAAGGTTAGAAGTATAGGAGTCTGACAGAAGCGAAACTTACGGTTTAGGGTTTAGGGTTTAGGGTTTAGGGTTTAGGGTTTAGGGTTTAGGGTTTAGGGTTTAGGGTCTAAGGTTATAAGTATAGGCCCCTAATAAAGGACCCTTAGGCCTCTCTAGGGACCCTTAAGGGTATATAGAGGGTGTATAGTAGGTGTATAAGGATCCCAGGGTTAAGGGCCCATACTAAGGGCCCATGGTTTCAACCGTAGACTTTCGGCCCATATAGAGCCCTATGAACACAACCGGACAAGAGCTATACACAACCCTCTAAGACCCTAGGGCTTAGGATTTAGGGCTATAAGATCCGGGGCTAGAAGACCCGAGGATTTAAGGTTTAGGGTAAGACCCGAGGGTTTAGGGTTTAGGGCTATAAGACTCTAGGGTTCAGGGTTCAGGGTTATAGGGCCCGAGGGTCTAGGGTTTAGGGCTATAAGACCCGAGGGTTAAGGGTTTAGGGCTACAAGACCCTAGAGTTTAGGGTTTTTGGGAACCCTATGACAAGAACCACATAAGAACAAAAAGCAGAGATACGATCCTACGAGACACGGTGAAAACGAACCGCTTAAGGGCCCCTAGAAAGCCCAAACAACTCCGGCTGGGACTGCTGCGCTGCTCTTTCAGGGTGACCGGACCTCATTGGCACCCCCACACGGAAACAATCTGGAGCACTGTCACCTAAACTAGAGATTAGGTTTCCTGGCTCGGGGGTTTACCTCTTGAAGTCGATGGCTCGGAGTTTAGGGTTGGAAGTTGAGTTGAGAGGTTTAGGGCCCAAACATTGATTGAACCCCTAAACGCTAAACAAAACACCCCTAAACCCTAAAGCCTATTGTGCCGAAGGTTGAAGGCTTCTGAACAGATGAAGGCTTTCAGTCATGGGGCATTGATGGTTTGGCGCTGCCGCAGCAGGAGTCGGAGCAGCAGCAGCAACACAAGTAGCATAACTACTGGCAGTTGGCATAACTCTGTAAAAAATACCATGGCCCAACCAAAAAGGAATGTACCAAGGTGCCCCTCTTCAAAGGCGGTAGCATCGCTTCATGTGGGTGGTTGTCAAAATTAGGGTCCCTTTTTGGGTCCTTATTATAATACGGCACCGATTATTTTAGGGTACCCCAAAAAGGGACCCTAATTTTGACAACAACCCAATTACCTATACTATTGTGGAGGTTCCTTTTTTTTTGCAACTAGAGTATAATATGGCCCCCAAACCCTATTCTACCTATTAAGGCGACCATAATTTTGACAACAACCCATGTACTTCATGAGACTTTGGCGCTGGGTAGCCGAAAGGCTCTCTGCCTTAAGCCCTACACGGTTTAGGGTTTAGGGTTTAGGGTTTAGGGTTTAGGGCGGCTAGCTTCCTTACTTTCCCCCCGTGAGGTACGAAAAGACCAAGGTCACACTTTCAGATTGCTACGAAATTCTCAGAACCCTAGAAGTTTAAAGGCTGGGTACTTCTAAGGACTTTAGGCGGGACCCCTAATGGGGACCCTTCATCCCATGACCATAAATAACCATTGTATGGTCCTTATATGCTCCTTATGCAGCCAGGTAGTCCCCATATGAACCAATAACCTACAAGGGTCCCTATTAAGGGTCCCTCCTAAAGCCCTTAGAAGATAGAATCCTACCCTAAACCCTAAACCCTAAACCCTAAACCCTAAACCCTAAACCCTAAACCCTAAACCCTAAACCCTAAACCCTGAAGCCCTTAGAGTACTGGAGACCTCAGCTTCGGCCCCTAAGCATGAGGGTCCAGGGAGTCCCTGGTCCTTGAAACCCGGACACCCTGAACCCCAAACCCGAAGAGTTTAGGGTTTAGGGTTTAGGGTTTAGGGTTTAGGGTTTAGGGTTTAGGGTTTAGGGTTTAGGGTTTAGGGTTTAGGGTTTAGGGTTTAGGGTTTAGGGTTTAGGGTTCCCCCGAAACTAAATCCCAAAAAACCAAAGGTCTGGTTTCGGGCTTAGGGGCCGAGGGCTTAGAGTTCAGAGTTCGGTTTAGGGTTGAGGTTTTAAGGTTTAAAGTTTAGGGCTTATTAAACCAGGTCCACGAATCGGTAAAGAGCAAAAAAAAACCTCGCATGCTTGCCCCGAGCCTTAAACCATAAATCCCAAATCATGTACACTTATATAAGCTTTCTAAACCCACACTCAAACCCCCGAAAATAGAACAAACGTCCCGTGGCAACCGCCCCGCCCACATTGCCCACCCTAAACCCTCAACCTTACACCCTAGACCCCAGGCCCTAGACCATAAAACCTGAACATACCTGAAAACTCAAACCCAAAACCTACGTGTCCAAGCCCCAAATCAAAAACCCATGCGGAGCCCTAAACCCTAGGCCCTAAACCCTAAACTCTAAACCCAAGGCCCCAAACCCTAAACCCCTAAAGCCCGGGCCCTAAAACCATACCCATGCAGCCGAAAAGGCAGTAGGAGCCGCAGCTGCCCCATGGGATGACTGGAGGCTCCTGACATGGCTTTCTGTAGGGGCCTTAATACTTAAAATAGGGTTTAGGGCTTAGGGTTTAGGGTTTGGAGGTTAAGGCTTTGGGTTTAGGCTGTAGGGTTTAAGGCTTAGGGTTTAGGTTTAGGGTTTAGGGCTTAGGGTTTTTAGGGCTTGGGGCTTTTAGGGCTTAGGGCTTTTAGGGCTTAGGGTTTAGGGTTTAGGGTTTAGGGCCTCGGGTTTAGGGTTTGGGGTTTAGAGTTTAGGGCTTAGGGTTTAGGTTTAGGGCTATGGGCGTGGGGTTTAGGCCCTAGGGCTTAGGGTTCAGGGCTTCGGTACGAGTTGGGGGCCCTAGCTAAAGGGGCTCCAGCACTTAGGGTTTAGGGTTGAGGCTCGTTGCGTTGAGGACGACTGGGTCTCGTGGGCTTTGGCACAGATTACGCCAGCCTTTGAGCCCGGCGCAAATTTCAGTCAATTTGCTCGAACCTGGTTTTGACCCTGAAACCCGAAACCAACACTCATTGGACCTAAAACCCTGACACCTTAAACCCTCAACCGTAGATACGAGGCCCGAAGCCCACTCCATCGCGATATCCTCTCTCGCAAGAACCCCTGTGGAACCCATTCTCGAAATCGGGGTTTCTCTGCTATAATGGCTTCCTATCATGGGTTTAGGGTTTAGGGCGTTTGGGGTTTAGGGTTCAGGGTAGGGCTGCATCAAATCTACAGACTGAAGTGACCTCGGCGAACGGCCCGCCTGCGGTTCGGCTTCTACCTCCGGATCCACCTGCAGAGTCTAGGGTATAGGGCCTATAGGGTTTAGGATTTAGGATGCTTTGGGGTTTAAGGTGGTTCAGGGCTTACGATCTTTTGGGATTTCGTCGTTTTTAGTGAGCCCCATAAGCCGCAAACCATGTGAGTATGTACTGGCCACTCCCACAATGACCAAGAATGGCGGCGGCTACCATAACTTTCCTGCCTGGCGTTGGAGTATGATGGTGCAGAAACTGTGTCGGCGAAACTGTCTAGACCCTAAACCCTAAACCC